TATTTATTTATTTATTTATTTATTTATTTATTTATTTATTTATTTATTTATTTATTATTTGATCCTCACAATTTCTTTACAATTCTTTTTCAGTGGAGTCCCTGCAAGTTTTGATGGCCCCTCAACTTCATCATACCAAAGTTCTTCTGGTAAATATATAAATACTAAAAATAGAAAACAGTTTTAGCTCCTGTGCTATTGACTGTTTTAACAGTCAACCATTCTGATACTTGTCTGGGCTGAACAGAAGGAAACAAGACAACCTCTTATGATGATAATAATAAAAAAAAACAGGATTTAGGCCTGGGAACAAATATAAAATAGGTAGCGCAACTGTGTTTGCTGCATGACTGATCTTAACTACCCCCTCCCCAAGGAAAAATTAACCTTTGACCCAAAATGGCCGACTCCCTGTTGGTTATAGGGCATACCTCCAAGAGACTTTTTTTCTTGATTTGGGGAGATCTACCTATGCCCCGAATTTCAGCTCTCGAGGACTTACCAGTTCCTCTATCTCACGTTAGGTGGCGCTGTCGAGTCATTTGYCCACGCCCCAAAACAYTTCCAATGGAATCATGCAATGAGGCTCTATATAAATAAAACTTTACTTACTTACTTACTTACTTACTTACTAAAATCTATGCTTTTGAAGTTTAGTAGATTGTGCACAACATCTGCCTCATATGGCTTTTATGTGCAGTTTGAATGTTTCTCTTACTATATATGTAGATTTATCAAAGCAAATATCAAGTTTGCTTTAAAATCATGAGTAATTCATTGAGTAACTAAAAGAGATGCTGTTGGCTGCTGCTGCTGTCTATGTCCTGTTAGGGTCTGTCATTCCTGACGGTTGTATAATCCCAGGGATTATGGGAGCAAGCCCTGCAATGACCATTACTACCAAGGCTTGGGAACGCTACTTATCTCAGCAGATGCATGGCAGAGACAGAGACAAAACTAGAAGCCACAACCAGCAGAAGAAAAGCAAAAGATCCAGATACAAAGAACGACAAATCTTCTCCTTTTCGCACAACAGGTGGGTTTCACTTGCTTGATGTTCCAAATATTTCTGATCAGGGTTGAGATTCTTTTTAAAAATTACTTAGAATGTTCAATTCTTGTTTTTTTTTTTTCATTCCTGCAACACTTCCCTTTGTTCATCCAAGGCTAACAGTGAATGAAAGTGAATCTGCTGTGCAGCTGTGGGGTCTGCAGATGCTGTTTTTGATTGTTATTCTATTCTAGCCTTTAAATGTGAAAGTGTGGTCAGCAATAACATATCTCYAAAATGACAATCACTGGTTGTCAAACATGTAGGAAAAGGTTATTTAGGAAATGATGTGGCTGAATAAGAGAAAATTGTGCTAAATAGGTTTTTTTACKTAACAGAAAGGATTATTCATTTAGGTGGTTTTCATGCTCAGTTTCCAGCTGATAACTATAACACAAACCTGGAGTGCAGTGAAAAACTGTACAGCTATTGTGTAAAAAATGCACTCTATTGTAAAATAGCTACACAAGCTGAAAGCTAAAAGCAACTGCAAGACTAGGGGAAAAATAATGCCAACATATGCAGAACAGTTCTTGGGGTTCTGGTGCAGTGAAGTGAGGGAACATTTGCCAGGATGTAACTGGATGGACGCTTTCTGTGATGAAATCAAGCCTCTTCCTTTTTAACTTAAAAATTCAATCTGACTTGTTCTCCAAATTTAACATAATGTCCTCAAACTCGACAGTCAGAGAGTTATGGTTATGGTTGGTGGGGATGGATATAAAATCCATATGAGCGGAGGCCTCCTAAGTGGGCCCATTGCTCTCCCCAAAAAG